CCCCAAAACCCCAAAACCCCAAAACCCCAAAACCCCGTATCAATTCAATTACCAGCAAAAATCAATAAATGAAATAACTAAGTTTTTTAGAAATGAATAGATTATTACTTATAGAAAATACACACATGAATGTTCAAAAAAATTTGTTGCATTAAAAGAACGAACAAAATGCTTAATAGAAATACCAAATTAGATATCCTAATTAAACTGAATTGGATTCATTTTTCTCTCTGGTCATTATAGAGCCTGAGTAGCATGAATTGAGACTCCCATTATCACTTAAGCCTCAATATTCTGATTATTTTGAGAGTATTCTCTTCATTATTTTCGCTGATAATATATCTGAATCACTCATTAAAGATTTTCAAGATTATAGTTGTGAATCTAATGGATTGCCGAAAAATGTACTAATTCTTAACAAAACTGAAGATTTCGGTTACTTAAGCATAATTCTTGGCGTATTCATTTAAAAGCCTAACTCTAAGATCAATATATTATCGACAACATCTATGTTTTCGAAAATAAATATGTTATCAAGGACATTTTAACAGAGTTTTCTCGACAAAAAAATTTGTTTATATGATCCATAAACTCTTCCAATGATCAAAGAAGATGAATTTTTGCTTTAAGAGTAAGTTTACTTTTCATTAAATAAGGAGGAAAATATGCTGCTGGAACTAACTATTCTCAAAATTTTAAATCAAATCAATCAGCTTCCAACTTCTATTACTACTCTTATGCTCTTTGTTTAAAGCTAAGTCAATGAATAAGCTAAGACTATGCAACTAGAACAACTCGTAAACTCTGAAAAAATAACTATTGTTTTACTTTATGAGTTTGTAGTGAACAAGGTTATCATAGTTAGTAGTGCTATTTATTAAACGATCGTTTGCAGATCTTTTACACGTATATCTGAATATGAGAAATATTTTTTTGAGGTCTCTTTTAACACGAGCATACTGATCCCACCTTAAGATGAGATTAAAAATGAACCCTTATCTTAGTAAGAATAGCTAAAAGGAGAGTCTGACTTTCTAAGTTTGAATACTGTGAAGCTTCTATTGCTAAACTAATAGCTGAAACCAGTTCCAGTTAAACCAGATGATTCTAGGATTCAGAAATAAAATATCAGAGTTAATTAGGCAAGCCATACTATACAATAATAAAATTAAAGCTGCCTTTAGACAGAGGATATCTCTGAATTAAATAAAACATTTGTTGTCTCTTTCGTAAAGAGCATTGTAAGCACATTCCTAGAAACATTTTCTAAATCGAATGCTATCAATATCAAGAAACCAAAGAGTCTCATTCAATCAGTAATCAATTTTACTAAAAATGAATGCACAAGACGATCTAAGTCCTCCAAAACATCTGAACAAGAAAAGAAATTCTCACTTGAAATTTAATAAAGTCAATCATTATAGAACCTTATTGTTTTCAACACCTTCATCATCCTGCACACTGAGAACTGTCTTAGATTTTTCATAGACAAAGACATCCAATACAATCCTGAAATAATTGGAATACTTGACAAAGGTAAAATCGATTAAATCGTTAAAGTCCCTCGATTAAGATTTAATCTAGCTTAAGGAGATAAATTCTTTAACTTCCCGGCATAAATGATTTAAGAATTAGATATTGCTCCTTAAGTATCTACATTCAGTAATAATAAAAACTTAAATGATAAATCTGAAATGAGCTAGAGTACTCATATCACTGAGTTTGGATAAAGCTAGAAGCAATTTACTACTTGCTAGACTTCAGATTCTACATCATAAAAATCTCAAGACTACAGCTAAAAATTTTAAACAAAACTTAATGTACCTTAGAAGACATCTTATCATTAATAATACTAATAAAACATATAGTAATAAAAGATAAATCAATCAATAATCGAATCAAATAAATATTAAGGAGACTAATTATCGCAATAAACCTATGGATATGGAGGATCTCAGCAGCAAAGGACTCAAAAATATCAAAAATAACCTTTTAGCAAGAAAAATAAACACGATGCACTAGATGACATTGATTTTCAGTGACAAAAAAGAAAAAAAAAATGCTGATAAATTAATGTGATTTCTAGACATCAACTCTCTTAATATGTTAATAATTGAAATAGATGTAGCAGTCTACTTCATTATGTAAATGATTTATAATTTATTTACTCTATAAGCACTTATTTCAAATCCTCCCGACCCTTAATTTTTGTTGCCGTTTTTTTGCAACAGAATTATCATTATTTTCTACTTTCTCATCAAATTTACATTGATTAATCGTCAAGGGGTTTTGGGGTTTTGGGGTTTTGGGGTTTTGGGG